AATTTTAAATAATATTTGTATTTATAGTATATGCAAGTACAGTTTATACTGCAGAACTTCTTCTTTATCATGTAGATAATAGTAAATAGATTAATTGTCAGAAACAATTGTGACAAAAGTGTCTCGGCAAATACAAAATATTAACTATACAAGTGATTATTATTGCGCCTATTGAGTATTGTATTATGTATCTATTGACTGTTCATCTTTGCATAATAGTTTATACTAGTACTGTATTGTGTAATTGTTTACTCCATTACACAGTAACGTTTTGTTTTAATGTTACTTATTTTTGAAAGACATCCTAGTTAGCTATCCTTATCACTAAGCTGGACTAAGTGCTTCAGTTATTATTAATAAGTGTTAGTAGATGGACAGGAATATTCCAATGGAAATTTACACACTTTTTAAGACCTACTCAGTTGTGTGTGAGAAGGCAAAAATCTATGTCTATGTGCTTCAGGTAGCCTAGCAACTATTTGCCACGTTTACTGTAATACTACCACTTGCAAGTGATGAACCAGGCGGGAATCGTAATCGTAGTATAAAGATTAATGCCCAGCCGCATAACTTACGCAAAAGAGCCATATATAGACAATAATATAGACAAATATATACATAAATTAATACTATAGATTATCATAAAGTAATCATGCAGTACTACCAATTCAATACTATTTAAAGCACGAGTAGGAGTGTTTTATCACATATAAAACACGACGCGTAGCGGAGTGTTTTATATGTGATGAAAACACGACTACGAGTGCTTTAAATGGCTTAAAAAACGAATCATCTTATACGAGTTCATTGGCGAAGTAATTTTTAAAATAAACTTTGTCTAAACCGAGAAAATCAAAGCTAAACTTTATGTAAATTAACATGATTTTTTATCACATATAAAACCACGACACGCTTATGATTTTTCTTTGTGTTTTGCTCCTGAATTATTAATGAGTTTTTTAATAATGTATCATACATTCGTATTTTATAAAGTATGATGACTATGAGAGTTTTCGTGTTCACTATGGCTGAATACATTTATGAAAAGCTAAAACTGACACAGACAAAATACATTGTAAACACAGCCTATTTAGGCAGGCGCTAAACCGGTGTAAACTATTATGCAAAGATGAAGAATACCGTCATTAGTATTTTTGCGCAAGTGAATGAATATGTAAGACCATATAACAAATCCTACAAGTTGTCAAGTTGATTGGTCAAATTTGACAAATTCCCCGATAATCACGGCCTCGCCTTTGCTTTGGCGAATAATTGTTCAAAGCCAAAGGCGCAATAAGAATCGCGTGTAGTTTATACTTATACGTGATAGTTTCTCAATATTTTGTATTTGCCAAGATACTTTTGTCACAATTGTTTCTATAAATCTATTATCTACAGTATACGATAAAGAAGAAGTTCTGCAGTATAAACTGTACTATACATACTATAAATACAAATATTATAATAAAATTTAAATATTAAATTGAAATATTACTGAGATGATCCTGTTACCCCACAGGCTATATCTATGAAATTGCACTGGTATACCTATATAACTCATAGTATTTTTTACCTTGAATATTATATCATGCACAAATCAAATATTCGTTCTCTGTTTAGATTTTAATTAATATAATTATACGAAAATTGATAATACTAGAAGTTACTATCGCAAGGAAAGTGCTGCCTCATCCCCAAGGGATTAATGGCAGAATGCACAATTTGCTGAATACCCTTATATGATCCCGCTATTACGACGCACTAGTGGTCTGTAACATTCCACTAACTTTGCATTCAAGACGTGAACAACTGTGCTCGGCATTCTTTAAGAATAAAGTTGTCTACAATTCTTCACAAAAATTATGAGACTACCCATGTGAAAGTGTAATTTCCTCTCCCCTCCCCCCTACAGAGCAATGTTGCTCGTGACTGAGTTGAAATTGTGAAGCACAATGCTTATGCTTGCAATAACAGTCAACATTGTTTTGGAGGGGGAGGACGAGCTCCTGATGGTAGGAATTTGCTGATTTTATAGATAAATATGCAAGTCTCAATATATTTTGTGAAGGATTGTAGTCCGCTATCAGGTCTGGTAAAGATCGCTGCAATGATCTACGTGCCCCAAAGAAACTTGCACCAATCAAATGCACAACAAACCGCTTCAAAAACTCTTTTATTCCATCGTCTGTCGAACGTTTTAATAATTCTTAGTATTCCGTCGTCTGTCGAACGTTTTAATAATTCTTAGTACCTAGGCTTCAGACTCTTATCAAAGTTTAACCGTTTTTAGTCGTAGGTTACATATATATCCATAATTAACAGATCTGAGAATTTTTATAATAATTATTCGTATTTTACATGTAATAGTTAAGCATATAGTTATGTTTATGGATGTATTTCAACTGTTTAAGGTAACTGTTTAACATTATTCGCATGATGTTTTTATATCATTATATCAAACTAAAACCACCCCCAAATACAGTGGCGTAGCCAGAGTCAAAGTTTTTGGGGGGCGAGATCCGAACGCCGAAGGCGTGAGCCATTCTAGGGGGGGTCCGGGTGCTTGACCCCCCGGAAAATTTTGAAATTTAGACTCCCGCAAATGCGATTTCCTGCATTTTCCGGGTGAGATTTTGCAGAATAAAGTTGGCATTCTGAGGATTATATATTGCATAAAAGACATTATTTTCCTTGATTTCACAAATGTACCAATCTTCTTTTCTCCCAAATGTAATAAATTGTCAAAGCCATCTATACTGCAGAACTGAAGTTGGGTTATTCTTTTCACTTTATGACCCCTTTATCCCTAGAGAAGTGTGTAAAAAGGCTTAAACGAACATTAGTTGGACATTTTGAGTTCAAATAATGCGAAGTTCTTTTATTCGACAGTGAGACACTGTTCGTTTCTACAATGCTTTTTAAAAGAAATGGGGACTCAGAGTCTGATAAAGTGTAAATTTAAATATTTGAAAGAATAGAGCAATAGTTGAGAGTAAATGTTTAATTTAAAAATCTAAACTAAACCATTCTTCTTGGGGCCATGTCTACGAACAATTGGACAAGATTGTCCACATCAAGTTGCTCCAACAAGTCGTCTTCGATGGACATCAGCATCAGACTATTCAGTCTTTCCTGCTGCATGGTTGTCCTAAGTCGAGACTTTATCAACTTTAGCTTCGAAAATGTCCTTTCGGCACTTGTTGATGTGAGGGGCAGTGTCAAAGCAATTTTCATCAGCTTTGTTAAATTTCCATAGCATTCGGGTTCAGCTTGCAATGCTTTGAACAGGTCGTCGAAACTGGCTTTTCTCTTCTCTAATTTTGCCTTTTCGAGGATGTTAGCAAGCAGCGACGATGTCTGTAGGGAAAATATTTCGCTCTCTACTTCATCAACATCAAGATCGCATTGGAACCATTGGGCCGCGACAGAAATATGTTTCCAAGCTTCTGGATTGCCTATCCGAGAAGGATTTAAGTATCCGAGACCCATCAAAACTGGTGCGTTATTCTTGTCAAATCGACTTTCAATGGAGCTAACCATAAGATCAAGTACCTAGATTTCGAAAAATACATAGCTGTAAATATTTTTATAAGCGATTGGAATGCATGTTTCCAGAACAATTCATTATTCATATAACCTACATTATAGTAAAAGGAAATTCTAAACTTGTCTTTCGACGTAAGATGGACTGCTGTGTCAGGATTATCGTCGATCCTCCTAGGAAGTTTGTGGGTACGCTCTTGTCTTGGTTCTTCGATATTCAAGCTGCGACATTTTGTAACAGTAGTTTCCCAAAATTCCTCAAATTTGGGCTCGCATCGTAGAGCCTGTACTGTGCTTAGCAGATCAGCAACTCTTTCGCAGCCGGTGACGACATCCAAGTCCTCTGACTGCAGCTTATCTGACACTCCCTTACTGAGTAGCAGGACTTTCTTCAGCACCTTAATAAAAATGATCAACTCACATCATTAAATTTTCATTAAAAATAAAAATGAATGAAATATAAATCACGGTACGTTTGTCATCAAAACAGTACCTCCAAAGCCAAAACAAATTCAAAATCACAGACGTTCTGAAACAACCCCTTTGCTTCTGCTGCAATGTGAGCCTTCTTTTCATTTTCTCTGATCTCTTTTAGAGTCGCGATGACAGCTTCGAGTGTGTGGTAAATTGCGGTGATGCTGTCCGCCCGACATGCCCATCTTGTATCAGACAATTTCTTCAGAACGTACTCACGCTTCTTTTTTCCTTCATCATCTGACGCATTCAACTTTCTCTGGTGTTTCAAGTACACAGCATGTCGTTTTGTGCAAGTTTCGATGAACACGTATAGATTTTGCAACGTTCCAAAGAAATATCTTGCTATACTATTGTTACTCATTGTGTCCACGATGACCAGATTTAAAACATGAGCATAGCAATGTGTGTAAATTGCTGACGGGGAAATCTCTTTGATGCGTGCTTGCAGTCCGGTATGGATTCCAGACACGTTACTTGCACCATCATAACATTGTCCACGCATGTTTGAAAATTCTATCCCACACTGTTGTAATTTCTCTCGGATGGTATGGAAAAGCGCTTCAGCTGTGGTTTCTTCCATAGGTTCTACAGCTAAAAGACGTTCTTCTATCACTCCATTCCAGACATAGCGAACAAGTACAGCTAACTGTTCCGTTTTACTAAGATCTGGTGTCTCATCTGCAATGATTGCATACATCTCGGCTCCTTTGACACGGCGTATGATTTCGTCTAATATAGCTGAACCAACCACCTTGATCAACTGATTTTGGATCTCAGGGCTATTATTTAAAACAACAGTATTGAGTATTACACATCGCATTTTGATATATAATTAAACACTACCAGGGCCATGGTCCATGTATAATTGCAAATTAAACGGTACGCATTAAGTGTAAACAACTTAACAAGGTTAGGACTAACTTAGGAAAATAATTAAAGCGCAAATCACACAATTAACTCACCTGTGCGTTGAACACTCTGCAGACGAAACAAAAAGCTTTATCCAACGAGACAGAATACTCTAACCAAGGAAATTTCTCATACCACGATACTAGAAACTTACGATTCCGGTTATCCAAAGGAAAATTTATATCTCTTGGCTGGCAAGGTCCTTTGCTTATAACGTGGTCCCTGGCTTCTCTTCCACTGGGCAAAGGACAGGAAGGTTCGTACTCATAAGACGAAAGATCTTGAGGAACAGAAGCTTCTGCCATTTTTCATGTATACAATAGTCTGCGCTAGTCACGCAAGAAAATTCCGCGCATATTATAATTTACTATTCAGTTTTCGCGATGACATGATTGGATAATAGTAAGGAAGTAGACTCGCCCAGATTTAATCTGTTAAGTACTTTTGAGTATGTTAGCTTAAGTAAATTGTTTTGACAGTTATAGTAATTGCTTTTGCGCAGCTTTGCCAATTCAATGGTTTGCGTGTTTTAACACCTTGTATATAAGCATATAAATACCAGCTCAGCGCTCCCAAGACATAAATGATTATATCAGATTTGCGCACTCGATATTTTTACCCAAACTTGGGTAGCTATAATTTCCATACCTCAACGGCATAATTATATTGTGAGTTTGGATTTCGTTAAACGTACCCCCCCCCCAACTGCTATACGGATTTAGACTTTTCGCGAAAATGGTCTTAGAAGCGATTGGGGGGGCGATCGCCCCCCTCGCCCCCCCTTGGCTACGCCACTGCGCCAAATACATAAAGAATACATAAAGGAAACTAAGTAAGTTATACTTTAAATTTAAATTTTTAATGCAAAATATAATAAAATTAAAAAACAAATAAATACCCAGACAGAGCCTGGGCCACCTGTGGTTTTATATGACAGGGCTTGAAATAATGTTTCCAACGTTCCCCAGACTCGTCCCCAGTCGTTATTTGAATTTCAATTTTATATATAGGGACGAATAGGTATATATCCATATATATATATATAGATCAGTACCAAATGTGGACGCGCGCAAGGGGAAAAGGGAAGGCGAGGGAAAAAATAACGACTGGCAGACTATATCTATCACTGAGCTATACTTATATATCTGGAGATCGTGCTCTCGACGAAAGTGTGTGGCCAAAAACATGGCGGATTTGACGTCACAATCGACCTATTTTCATGGCAGTTTCCACTGACCCATGGCTCGAATGTCCGTGGGCGCAAAATTCAACCCCCCCTGATTTTACAGTGATTTACATTTATGTACTGTTGTTTGTATTAGTTGATCGACGATGGAGTGTATTTTGATTTTCGTCCTTTTGAAAATACAGTATTGTTCTAACTGCGCGTATAAATCAATAAAGACCGAAAGCCATGATTTATCAATTCTTGTTGTATTTGTGAATTTGTGTTGCAACTGACTATCAAGATTATTCTTTAAAACACGAGTATTATAACAATCCCCAGCAAGTAAAATTAAGCAAATATAGCTTGTTGAAAACCGTACTGCTATAAATTTCCCTGAGTGACAAAGGTTTTTTTAGAGATTTTAATACCAGTTTATTCTATTAGTAAATTGTGGGGAAAAGCAACTCTTTGGAATATAAAGCACTTATATCACCATTAAAGTTTTTTTTACACCTGTATGTATTCCGCTTTCAGGTATGAATTTATCAAGAAAATATGGGATATCTGTACTAAGTACCAGGTGGCAATGAAGAAAGTCAAGTGTATTTCTTAAAAATGGTCTTCCTTGTATTGGCAATGGCACTATTTCATTGAACATTCAAGGAACAATCGCTTTTTAAAACAAATATGCACATTTTTATGCTCGAGTTACAATGTTTGATTTTGATATCTGCATTTTATGCGATTCATACCTTATTTTTAAGTGTTCCTCAAATATTGATTCAATACATTACCTCGGGCTGACCAATTCATTCCATCAAGATATTTGCTGTGTTGGTGTAATACATGTACTCAGGTGAATAAGATGCTTGTGTGATGTTACGTACTCTGAGTGGATATCCACACTGGGCAGGCTTGAAAAATATGCCTGGCCACAGTGGGATTTGAACCTACAACCTTTGGAATACTGGCTCAATGCTCTGCCAGCTGAGCTATACAGTCGGGGCAGTTCGAGTATGCGATATTTCGGAACTGAGTCTAGTTCCTTCGATATCAGTGTAATCTAATAACCATGATATTTGTGAATATGATGCTTGTGTGATGTTACTCTGAGTGCATATCCACACCGGGCAAGCTTGAAAAATATGCCAAGCCACAGTGGGATTCAAACAGACCTGACCGCGTAGCTCAGTTGACAGAGCATTGGCATTTGGGCTAGTATTCCAAAGGTCGTAGGTTCAAATCCCACTGTGGCCAGGCATATTTTTCAAGCCTGCCCGGTGTGGATATACACTCAGAGTAACATCACACAAGCATCTCATTTCATCAAGTTCCTCCAGATATTCATACACTTCCTAGGAAGTGTATGAATATCTTGAGGAACTTAATCAAATGAATTGGTTAGCCCGAGGTAATGTATTGAATCAATATTTGAGGAACACTTCAATGGGAACGACAGTGAAGAATTATTAAAAAAAAATATTTTATTTAAAATATTTAATATATAATTATATAATTACATTTAGTAATAAGAATAAATAATATATTCAATTTCAAATCACAACAAAATTTATTCTTTATTTTTAAACACATACAACACTGCTCAACCAATTCTATGCATGTCAACCCTACTTGATGGTCAGCACCTACAGTAATTATGCTAACCTAATTTGTGCACTAACACAAATGGTCAAAATAAATGTAAATGTAGCAATCTTGGCTTAGCTAAACAGACCAAAATGTGTACAAATAACTTAAAGTTGTTAGCAGAAAAATTAAGGAATAAGTTTAACCCATTGAGTGGCGAAGCACCCTATTTTAGTATTTTACTCTGTCTAACGCCAGACAATTTTACTCGTCAAGGGGAGAGCGCTGGCGCTTAATGGGTTAATTACCCCTCATGTACAGTATGACCATTAATTGTACTGATAATAAACTGTAAAGATCACAACCAAGCTGACCAAAGCAATCATTAAAGATTGTTGGTACAGCATATGGCTCACTGGTCTCTGGCTGTAATCCTCCTCAAAGATATCAGCACTAAAATGCTTTGAACACAAACAACTATTTTTCATAGGAACAAACTTCACTGGCATAAGTTTGCTTATATTCTTCACCCATATGCTGTGCAATTCAGGGAATCTCTTCTCATCTGGAAAGCTTTGAAGTAAATGAACAATTGTTTTTAGTGTCTAGTTAATACACTGCTCAATACGATACCTATAACTTACAATATAAACAATGCCACACTAGACAACACATGGTTTAGTCCACAATAAAGACAATACAATGAGTGAAAGGCTTTGTACATTTAAAGCTAGTCGTATCTTTATCACATTGTTAAAATTCTCATTTGAAATTTTTTGACATAGCATTATCTGTTAGGATATCGATACGATTTCATCACTGCATCACATCCATCAACTTGCATGAAAATAAATACTTGCTCGACAACAGCTCCACAAGCTTGTCAACATTTTAAAATTTTGTTCTGCTTTTGCACTGTAGTACACTAACATAAATTGTATTGTATGTTGCTTGCCAATAAATTTCATGAATTCACAAATTTACGCATTCAATACAGCAATACAGCATGCGTTAAATTATTAAAAAAAATAGATTATACGAGCCTTACGCATGTGAGGACAGGTCCTTTCTTTCAGTAGATTTTTGGCAACCAGGAATTGAACAAAAAGTTGGCATGGTTGCAAATGTCTCGTTTCAATATAGAAATTTCCGACCGAAATTTTGAATTTACTATTTTACTTCCTTCTGTTTTAAGCAAATTGAAAGGGGGGTGTGAATAACTTTTTTCTTCACGTTAGTATTTTAGGTCAGTGGTGTTCACCATAAATTTGGGTCGATTGTGACGTCAAAATGACGTAAATTTGGCCAAAATCCGCCATGTTTTTGGCCACACATTTTTGACTGACGAGGTATTGGAGCACGATCTCCAGATATATTAAGTATAGCTCAGTGATATCTATGCTGGCAGATTACAGAGACAAAATGGCGGACAATTTGACAACAAAAGAGGAAAGACTATTTTAAATTTTAATATACACCACAGAGCGTTTTTAGCTGATAAACTCCCTTGTCCGCATGAGGAATGTCAGTATAATTTATCTTGCTATGATCAAGATGGTTTAGACCACCATTACAGGACAATCCATAAATGTCCTGTAACCTGTTATTTCAGGCTTTCAGCTGATTAGTGATATTAAAATTTAAAAGGCGAAAAGTCTTATTGTGCCAGATAACTGAGAGAAGCACTCAAAGGAAACACTGTCATGTTTGGAAAAGCTATCGATTAACAACCAATCGAAGGTATTCGTAAATCTAGAGTGTTGAATGCCTTTAATTGGAGCCAGCGAGCAATATAAAAACAGGTATTTTATTCAATTTTATTTATGCGTTTATATCTTTATATTTCACGATGAAATGCACTCTTAAACTCTTTGGATTATAAAGAAGACAGCTTTTTGCTGGGTTTTTTTTTGCAACCTGTGTATTTCACAATTTGGTTGCTGAAACTACAGATTTTTGTTATTTATAAATTACTTTATAAAGTGCTATTAACTCCAGGTTTTGTGTAATATGATTATGTGCCAACTTAAAACTTTGCATACAAGGCTATTAAATCAATGACAAGACTTTTGGAGCATTCAAATATTTCCCAAAATACCTGTGAATAACAAAATATACCCCCCCCCCGTAACTAAATGTTGCTGTATGATGAAAAGACGTTACATTGGTCATTAACAACACATTGTTGGGGGGCACAGGTTTGTAGGGATAATATAGAAGCTCAGGTGGCACATAACTCCTATCATAGCCTTAATTAAACAATTTGAAAAACCAGAAATACTGTATCAATGCACTGGGGCCAATCTGGCAATTACTTCTAACTATGTTCTGACAATCCTTGCACTCATAGTCCTTGAAATGATAAGGTAATTTCTACCTTGTATCATGGCCAATGTTTAGGGCCACTTTCGGTGCCTTAGCAAGCTCGATAATTGGGGGAGGCTCATATTCATATATTATATTTGTGTTCTGCGTTATTAATTTCTTTTGAAATGGATTGTTTTTATGGACTGTGAATATGAAATATATATGAATATGAGGCCCCCCCCAATTATCGAACTTGCTACGGCACTGATTTTTGGTTGTTATACCATTAAGTCTGATAATTGCACCACCAATGGTTCTGGTATCTCTTGTTTTTCCCATCATCATTTCTGTACTCAACTTTACAACATATAATATATTCTTGTTTATTCCAGAATTATCTTACAATTGGGACACCATTTATCACACAATTGGGAATTTGTCCTGACTCACCCTGGTTTCCCAATTAAGCCCTAGAGTGACAGCACTCTCCCTTGATGAGTAAATTGTCTGGTGTTAGACAGAGTAAAATAATAAATATGTAGGGCATATCAGGGTGCATTGCCACTTAAAGGGTTAATCTTGATCTGGGTGGCAAAATGCAGTACCAAGCAAGATGTATGGAAATTGAAGACACAAAAGCTGGATTAATTTTGAACCATTTTAATTGGACTTCTTCAATGGAATTATTAACAGTGAATAATTTTAAATTAATTTAAAACTAAAATGTATTATAATTACAGTTAATGTACATGATGTAGTGGAGCATGTCTATTATATTAACTTAATAAAGCTTTATACTTTCATATGTTATCTGCATGGTGGGGGGTGGGTGGTTGTGCAGAAAAATTCAGGGGGGGAAGGTGAGTGAGGGGCATGTAGCCACAGAATAAGGCACACAGAAGGTCGACTCGAGTAACCACCATGATTCATCATCAAAATGCTGACGCCATGGTCCTGGCCAGTGCGCATTTAAGAGGCATTCCCCCCTGGACGTTCACCATTTTGAATAATATCAGGGGGTGAATGCCTCTCAAACGCGCACTGGCTAGGACCATGGCGTTAGCATTTGATGACGAATTACAGGTTACGCCTAAATCATAGGAAAACCCGAGAAGTCGGCCTTCTGAGTACCTTATTCTGTGACGTAGCATCCTGAGGAAGATTAACTAAAACACAATATACCAGACAAATATAAAAATATGTCATTTGTAATACAATGTTATGAATTGGAATGAATTCACCAAAATGGTCAGAGATAACTTTTTATGGCAAATGGTCGAATTTCCAACACGCGGTGCAAACATTCTTGATCTACTATTAACAAACATTCCGCACAAAGTTAAAGATGTTTGTGTTTTCGATGATATTCTCAAAACTGACCATAAACTGATTGACTTTAATTTAAGTTTTATCATCAATAAAAAACTGTCCTGTCAAAAGGATTGTTTATAACTGGAAGAAAGCCGACATAAGTGGTTTAAAACAATCAATTTCGCGTACCCCCTGGGACCTTGCATTTGATGAATCATCCGTTAATATAAGTGTGACTAATTGGATGGACTTATTGTTGACAATAACAAACGAGCACGTACCGCAGGTCGCAATATCGGATAATAATAATAAACCTTGGATTGATAAAGAGGTCATTCAGATGATGCATAAAAAAGATCGAATGCGTAAAATAGCGAAGAGAACGGGTGATCATACGGACATTGAGAATTTTGAAGAAATTAGAAGAAATGCTGGAAAGCTTATTGAAGTAAAATATAAGGATTATTTGAACGAACTCAAATCAGATTTAACTGAACATCCGAAACGTTTTTGGACATTTATTAAAGCAAAAACTAGAGCATATAGCACTCCTCAATTTCTGAAATACGGAAATGTATTCGCCACAGACGGCAAGGATAAAGCTAATCTCCTGAACAGTTTTTTTCACTCTGTGTTCATTTCAGGGGTTTCCCCAGAATCTAGTGATGAATACCGCAGTGAGGAAAATTGTGAAATTGTAGACAACAGTCTAAGTCAAATTGTTTTAAACGAGAGTGAAGTGCTAGATTGTTTATTAAACCTAGACCAGACGAAAACGGGTGGACCTGATGATATCTCTGCAAGGCTTCTTAAGACGGTTGCAAACGAAATAACTCCGTCGCTAACACTCCTTTTTAGCCTTTCTCTAAGATTAGGAGAAGTTCCATCCATATGGAAACAGGCGAACGTCACTCCGGTTCCGAAAGTTGGCGACGTGCATTGCGTTGAAAACTATAGGCCGATTTCTCTGCTATGCATAGTCTCGAAAGTGTTGGGAAAATGCATCTACAACCGGTGTTATGACTCTATTTCCGGAATTGCACACCATTTACAACATGGCTTCTTACGAGGCAGAAATTGCACAACACAGTTAATCCAAGTGTATCACAAGATTCTTAAAGCACTGGACAATAAACACTCTGTTGATGTAATTTATCTTGATTTCCAAAAAGCGTTTGACAAGGTATCTCACCATTTATTGCTCCGTAAATTAAGCAAACACGGTTTCTTTGGTTCTATTATCAACTGGTTTAAAAGTTACTTATCAGGAAGGATCCAACGAGTTGCGCTTGACGGTCATTATTCTGAATGGCTCGATGTGACTTCTGGAGTTCCACAGGGATCTATTCTCGATCCACTGCTTTTTATATTGTACATTAATGACCTTCCGGATCAAATTCAGCAACCAACAGAAATGTCATTATATGCTGACGACTCAAAATTATATAGAACAATAAAATTGGATGCGGATACTGAAAATTTACAGTTAGATTTAAATGAAATGAACTCTTGGACAGAAACATGGCGTATAAAATTTAATACAAATAAATGTAAAGTTATGAGGTTGTCACGAAAAAAATCCAGTCGCACGTGAGTGATTACATATTGGGACACGAATCTCTCGAATTGGTAAAAACCACCAAAGATCTTGGAATAACTGTGAGTGACGATGTTCGTTGGGGGAAGCCAACCTCGTTCCCAGGGTATTTGCTCTTGGGAAGCAAAGACCCTGGTGGACGCTGGTCACTTGACCCATAGAAAATTGATAGCCTCAGAGGGGGATGGAAAGGTTTCATATTACATGTTTCCACTTCCGCACTTCATACTTCGATTGCAAGGAGTGGCCGTGCTGTACAATAATCTTTGAGAATCTATATTCTTCAAAATTCTTGCTAAATTGGTTTCTGTTTGCCGTTTTAAATTATACAAACATGGTAAAATGCAGATTCTTGTACTAACAGACAAGTCAGCAAATCAAGCAACGAAAACGTATGACCGTATGGTTTGAAATATTTGCGTTTTTAATATTCTCTCGGGGTTCGGGCGCAATATTTTCATTTCATACGTACGTTTCTGTCCTGGCTCTGCCTCTGGTTCAGATATTTACAATATTCTTATAATATGCCATTGAATTGTTGTCATATAGAAAGGAAACGGTATAAATTTTGTAAAATAGAGGTATCAAAAGCGACTGACAAAATTGTTTGGAATCAACACTCGACAGTGCACTTTTTTGTCTTCACGACTACCTGTTTGTTGAGCCAAAATATTGCACAGAATCTCCTATAATAAATTATAGCTATCGCCATTCACCCTGCCACTCTGAATGCAAAGGAATGATATCCGAAAAGATTTAGCAAAGTATTTGTTATTATATCTGGTACGAAGTGTCCCTATACGTTTTATCAGGGATATACATTTATATATACATAATTCATAAACTGTATATGCGCACCAAGTCTCGCTCATAGAATTACTTAATGAGTTTTATTAAGCCTTTTAAAGTTTCTATTGATACTGATAGATAGGTTTGCTTACAGTTACGAAGTATCGTTTGGTGAAACAAGTCGAAAGAAGCTGGATTTTAAGTTGGATTATTCTTCAAATAATGCCTGGGGATTAATACCAATGCCAATGAAAGGTCTTTATAAGATTTATAATGTTTACTGCAATATATGATATAATTTAGTCTAGTGCATATATCGTCCTAGATATTCAAGTTGTACCGCACGCACCGAGGAGTTTTGGCGTGTGATAACAGTATACTGTAGCTGCACTTCGACATATATCATTCTTGATCGTTGAGCTGTTTCAGCAATGTAAATAAAAGGAATAACGGGTTTTAATCCTGTGCTTACTGTAATTCAGTCAAAACAACACTATTGTTTTTATATACACAGTTGGCGATGTTCGGTACTTCAGTTGGGAAATCAAAGGATCCCGTTATAAAATAAATCCTTTGTTTTGAATATCGGACAGGATACATTTCAACTATAAACAACCATATCATATCGTTCGTTTTATATAAATACCGTTTGATCGATCAGTCGGTGTAGAAGATATCAGATATGTATGTTTATACGGCGATCTGATGCGTGCTCACTACCCAGGCGCGTGTGGAGTATATTTTTCCTTGCAAGTGAAATATGATCCAGCTTCTCGCTTGAAATGTACCGCAGCACTTATTATTGATGACATTCAATATAGCAGGAAATCTTGTCATGATGAGTACGAATTTAGAACAGTATAAATCATGTTTATTAATACATGTAAAGTGAAGTATACAGCACTAATGCATCTGGCGAATGTCAACTACTACATTCCCACCCCTCCCAGATTGACAAAACAACGCTAATTAAAAATCTGCTAGATTTTAGCAGATCACGTGACCAGCGTCCACCAGGGTCTTTGCTTCCCAAGAGCAAATACCCTGGGAACGAGGTTGGGGGGAAGCATATTGCAGAGATTACGGCAAAAGCAAATCGAACACTCGGGTTGATCAAAAGAACCTGCAGAGACTTTGAAGATCAAACTGTCAGGAAACTCCTCTACCTTACATTGGTTCGGCCGCAGCTGGAATTTTCAGCAGAGTTGTGGTCCCCGTCAGAAGTAAAGTACCAGCTTATGTTGGAAGCGGTGCAACGACGAGCTACAAAGTTTATTTTAAATTACCCTGACACTGGATATAAAGAACGTTTGATAAAACTTAACCTTCTACCACTTGATGTCAGGAGAAGTATGAAAGACTTGTTATTCTTTCATAAATGTAGAACAGGTCTATTGGATATACATTTACCAGATTATGTACAAAGTCGACTTGCTCCTAGATATAACATTAGGTCACATGACGTGAATAATTTCACTGAATTTAAATGTAGAACTGAATATTTTAAAAACTCGTATTTTCCTCGAGCTGTGACAATGTGGAACTCGTTAGATAGTGATCTCAAAGCAATTGACAGCTCTAGTATTTTTAAGTCTAGACTTCTTAAGAAATTTTATATAGAACTTAATGTTTATGAACTGCCACATAAGTAGTTTGCAGAGTGTTCCACTAGTTGTTAATATGTATATATAAATACATAGTAGCAAATGTTAGGTATATACAAACTCTTTAATAGGTTTTTAAATTGGTAGTCATGTTCAATTGGGGCAATGCCCTGTTTGGCCACCAGTTGTTTTTTTAACTAATTACTACATTCTTGTATTTAGCAGTATATATAGTAGTGCTTGGATGATGCAAGTGTGTATGGTTTTTCTTCTAAAGCAACAAAGTTATTAAACTTAAACTAGAACTAAGCAGAGTAGTTTCCGTGGAAAGTTGAAAACGGAAACCCGACTGCTGGTCCACAAGAACGTTGTTTATTGTCATAAAGGATTTTAGCCGTTGATATACCAATTTCTCAAATACCTTAGCAACAACGGAGATTACAGAAATGGACAACTTGCATGTTAGACTAAATTTTAATCTAAGCAGAGAAAAGGGAATCAAACACCACAGCAGAAAAGAACATACTAAAATTAGTAAAAGTACAAAATTTGGTTGCGAAATGTTGTAAAGCTTGGAAAATGTAGCTTTGTAAAGTTTGCATATTTTCAGTATATTAATATTACGAGCGGAAATTGTTACCATTTTCGGCTCAAAAATGGTAACAATTTCCACTCGTCATACTGAAAATATGCAAACTTTGCAAAGCTATATTTTCTAAGCTTTACAACATTTCCCAACCAAATTTTGCAAGTTTACTAATTTTAATAAGTTCTTAACGGGAATTTACTTTTTTTTGCCTAGATCGGCTAGATCAAAAAATTGTCTGACATGCAAGTTGTCTATTGGTCTATAGTTTCCACAGTCATTCCTATTACCGTCCTTAAAGACTGGTGTTACTTTTGCTAACTCCCAGTCGTCAGGGAATATAGCGGTCCGTAATGAAAGGTTAAAAATATCAACCAATGGCCCAGCAATATTGTGTGTTCCGTCTTTTAGCAATCTTGCACTAATTCCATCCAGTCCTGAAGATTTTTTTGACTGAATGAGATTTAGCGCATCTTGAAAATGAAACTGCAATGGGGAATTCCTAGGCTGATGACAGACCTACGTTTCGCCCGCCCTAGCTAAAATTCGCGGGTCGACGAAGGGAGAAACGTAGGTCTGATGAAAATGTTGTCAAAAGTGCATGTAAGTCGACCGCCTGGCGGTCGACAAAGCTGATTGGCTAATTCACAGGGAAATGGGTTGTGATTGGTTGGTCGCTAACATGAAAAGATTTGAAAAGATCAGAATATTTTCAATGGTAAATCAACGCATATAAATATGCATACAGTGTAATTGATGCGGAGCGAACGAGCTTGAAGCGAGCGAGCGTAGCAGCAACCTAATATATGCAGAGAGGGGGTTTTGAACTAAATTTTATTTAGCGCATGGAATTGTGGTCGTGCGCGCTTTTTATGCGCAGAACACAAATTTTAAACTCGCTAGAGGACTCTTCAATTTTTATCGAATTTCTAATGCTTTTTCAAGTTTAATGTTAATACGCTTACATTGAACTTTGGCCACTGTCAGTTCTATATTTTTATAAAGTTTTGGTTTCTTAGCGTGATAAATCTATATATATAGCGTATATAATGTGGTAAATGCGCCTAGCAGTAAACAGATTAATGAGACGCACATGTTTAATATCTGTCACCTCTGATTGCCCTTTAACCCCTGGGTCTTTGCCACTTCAATATAGCCTATGTTGCTTCTTCCCAATCCCATTCACAGCTCACTAGTTGCTGCAAGTAATCACTGTGCTTGATATAATCTGTGCTGTTTACTGTAGTTCTATTTGCTTTTAATGCCCGCAGCAATCCCTACCTTGCAGGTACCCTAGTCCCCGAGCCGGCGGCGCGAAGCGCCGTGCGAGGGTACTAACTCCCCCCCGGCTATTTACACCCGGGGAAACGAAAGCATTAGGGAAGGTCAATGGGGAAGTCTGAAGTTCATCAAATATCGCGGGCGTGGGTCACTGTGCGTGGGTGGTCCACTGAGCTATAATATTACTGGAGGAGCTGCTCCTATCTTTCCGCCAGTCATTCAAGTGAAGCCAAAAACATGGCGGATCTTACGCCATTGCCATGACTACTGGTTCTTATTTCTCATGGTAATTACCACTGACCAACCGCGATCCTACGCTTTAAGCAATATCTTTCACCCCCCTGTTTTTTTTCACAAATATGAAATATTTTGGTTTAGTTTGTCTTTGAACTGAAAATCTTGATATTTTTCATCAATTTTGTCTGTTTTACAAAGTCAGGTTGCCCTGTTATGGCTCTAAAAGGAGAATATTACCGGTAAGATTCACGATTTTTTTACTTTCTCGCCTGGCAACGTTGCCATATATTTTTAACACTCGTGGATATCTCAAAACCTGATGCTATATTAAAACTGCGAGTATTACTGGTTTTAAGCAAGTTTTCCTGGACAAACTCTTTCCTGTCTTGTTTTATTAAACATTTAAACTCATTTCTTGGGTTTCATGGTGCTTCGGTTTGTGTTTTGTTTTTAAAATTGTTTATTGATTTAGGTTTTTAAGTGCTAGTTTTGCCAGGTTTTTGAAATAGCAGCTATCTACTGTGTAGCTTTGTATTTTATACAGGACATGTGGGGTGTGAGTGCACAGCCAACCTTTCCAGCACTCTCCAAAAGTTCAGCATCAAGCAGTTTATATTATTTAACCCATTGAGGACCAGAACGTTTAACTTAGACACATGAGCAGATAGCCTGATTAATCCATTGAGGGCTAGCATTCTCCCCTTGATGCGTTTGACAGAGTGAAATAATAAAGTAGGGTGCATCAGGACACAATGCGACTTACTGGGTTAAACATGAGTTTTATGATTTGTAGCACTACCCACATTGTATAGCCTGCGTGCAGCCTGACTTTAAATGGAGAGAAGTCAGTCTGCGAATCAGGGAACAATACTGTGTTCGCGCCATCTTTTGAATTGCATGGATTTCTGTATTCAAACGTGATTGGCTATTGCTCAAAAGCCTAACACACACGCTACGATTGGCCAATTTGTTAATATATATTTGGTTCATACAACATTCCAGAATGAAAAAAATGGCGGACAAAAACACAAAGAGCAATGTTGTGTGTAATTTATGCACAAACCCATGCACAAACCCATACAAAAGATATGAAAGGGTTCTCATTGAGGTTCCCAAGACGCCATTTTGCTAAATATATTATTTTGTTGAACTGAGTCTATTAACGAATGGCCAATCGTAGCGCGTGTATTAGGCTTCTGATCAATAGCCAATCACGTTTGAATACAGAAATCCATGCAATTTAAAAGATGGCGCGAACACGGTATTGTTCCCTGATTCGCAGACTGACTTCTCCCCATTTAAAGTCAGGCTGCACGCAGGCTAACATTGTATTATTAACCCTTTAAGTGGCAATGTGCCCAGATGCACCCTACATTATTATTTTACTCTGTCTAACGCTGGACAATTTTACTCGTCACGGGGTAGGTGCTGCCAGTCAACATATTTAGGTTAATACCGATTTAGCTGGAATGACCCAATACATGCCATTTGCTACTGTAAAATTGTGAATATGCCGGATTTTTCTTATCTAGGCGCTGATACAGAAATGTGAAAAGGAAAGCCACCTGAGGTCTTAAATGTTCAAATAGCAAGAGTGGTGCTGTAGACATCAGACATGTAGTGGTATACCATATGCTAAAATTAAATATTGTCCATCTTACAAAAGTAAGGGCCTTGGCCAGAATTCCTGCCCTGAACAGGAAAGATAACTTCATTTTATCATTGCTATCAGACTGTGATAAACAGGGAATCATGTTATTGTCAGTGGTGTTTTTAAATACAATATGACTGCTTACAGTTATAATTATAACTTGTATGGTTGTATATATAGTTTGTAAAACTTTTTCTTGCTGATTTATAATTATTCTTTAAAGCAAGGTATAAACAAAATAGTGAAAACCCCTGGGGTAATGTAGGGTAAAGGAGGGAGGGTATCTATTTATCTGTGAATTAATGATAATTTATTTCAAGTATACAGGGCTGGATTGACTGGGGGGTCTAACATCCCCGTGTCCAATCTTTTGAAATGTGTCCCCCAATTTTTGGAGGGCCACTGGTTTCTCAGTTTTTACTGTTATGTGTCTACCCTTCATAAATAAAGAAGTTGATATAAATAATAATAAAATGCCGAAATGCTGGAATTGCCAAACATGTGAATTTTTTGGGCATGTTGTGCAAAATTGTGGCCAATTCTATAAAGGTTACGCTGAAAAAAATTTAATTCACCTTTTTTGCAAACAACGGTTTGGGAAAAGAAACAATTACCCCCTCGCCAAAATTTTGCGAATAATTTTGGGGACCCAAAAGGCGAAGGGGCCCAAAGTTCTGTATTCACCCTCCGAAAGATGTATCGGTTGGCACGGCCCTGCAAGCACAATACAATTGTGCTTTGTCTGAGCCAGAAAATAAATAAATCTCACCAAAACATGTCTTTTTGTGTGATAAATGATGTCTTAATAAAGAATGTTTAATAGAGAGGGGGCTCAACAATTTTTTCATCCATATTGAGGGGGGATTAGAGTGGGGGAGGTGAGGTTTAACAGGGAGATTACAGTAGCAAACTCAAAGCTTTATTGCTGGTTTTGATGTATGATGCAACTACCTGGATTTAAGTAAGTCTTTGTTCAAAATGTACAATTTTCCAATAAAGAGTTTGTCATGACACGCTCAAGTCAGTATAACCAGCCTGTATTTTATTTATATCAGTTATCACAGACACAGGCAATTTTATTCTGTCAAATACCGTCGGTTGCAACTAAAGGTGAACAGTTGCAGACAAAACATTCTCTATTCTCATTAAAAAGCCTGCAAAAGTTTCCAGTAGGTCTCTAGTCCAACACGTTCAGACCACACAAAGTTTTTTTTACTTATTATTGTACACATGGGAAACAACAATTAAGTGTTGTTGTTCTTGACAAACATTGAAGATTCTAATCACGCGAATGTTTTTATGAGCGACTGTTCATCGTTAGTTGCAAACGACGGTACAACATACTATGAACATTTTTCCGACTGTGACCGAATGTGCAACGATATATTTTTCATGAAAGTTGTTATCAATTCCTAAAATTTGTTTATAGTAAAACGGCTTGCTCAACACTCACTACTCACGATGATTTCATTTAGAAATGCAGTTACCAGGAAAGGAACTGATTCTAAAATATGTAAATTTAAAAGCATTGGTTAACAGAAAAAAGCGATGAGAAGACAAGGTATAAACTTTTATAGTTGCTATTTGTTATAAAATACTATAAATAAACCGATTCAACAATAATTTTGCCTCGAATTTGCATATTCTATGCTGCATGTCAGAGGCTGCATGTTTATATTTTATTTTTATAGTATAAAAATAAAATTGTAATAGTATGAAATAAAATACATTTCTGTTTATTGACCAGTACTTATTTAATGTCTTCTTCATCCAGTGGTCAGAGTAAATTTCTACTTCTTGCAAAATATTATACTGACAAGCAGTCTGGAATAAGCACAGGAATAAGCACAATAAGCCATTTTATAGTAGCAATATGAAACGTTTTTTCTTTTTCCACGACTTTTAATGCATCAGCCAAATCCAAGTGTGCCCATCCCCATCGCCCAGCCATTTTCCTGTAAAGCACATCCCGGGGGTTAGGCATTTCCACTCGAACCTTATGCACTTATCATCGGCTTCCCCGGGGGTGGACCCCTGGGATACCCCAGGGGGAACCCCAGGAACAGGAGGGGATTCGATGTCTTCTGTAAAAAATAGTGTTCCTCGGGGTAGGGGAATTGTTTTGGTTTGGTAACAGGCACTGTTAACCCCCGGGATAAACCCGCGGGATTTTGTTTCACATATGGTCAGTGGTATCTAACATATATGTCCAATATAGATATAACCATGGTTGTCAGGTGGTGAAGTATATTTATATTATATTTTTAACTATTACCTCGAACATGTCTGTCAAATGCATTTAAATATATTTAGCCAAATCCTTTGAATTACGTTTCCCACATGAGAACCGTAATGTGAGATATAATGTATTCATATTACTGTATATTGTTATTTATTACCTCGAACATGCATGTCTGTCAAATGTGTTTAAATATATTCTGTCAAATACTTTGAATTACGTTTCCCACACGAGAACCGTAATGTGAGATATAATATTATATTTTTATATACATAGTTGGCCACAGTATATGTAAATAATAATAAACTAGAAATACATGCATGCAATAACCCCTCGCCTGTTTTCAAAAGATGTATACTCAGTGCCGTTGCGAGCACTTCATCTCAGGGGGTGTGTACACCATCTGACAACTATCTGACAACCATCTGACACACTTCGACCATCATACACAATCTTCATCTGACAACCCTTCCCTGTATAATCACCCTACATCATCATACACCATCTGACAACCATCTGACACACTTTGCATGACCATCATACACCATCATACACCATCTGAAGCCCTTCCCTGTACAACCACCTTACACCATCATACACCATCTGACACACTTCGACCATCATACAGGCATCTTCACCATCAGACATCAGATATCGATGCCTGTATTGCATGCATGGACATTACTCGTATCTAAGAATCATTGAGTTCGAATAGTATAAACTTCATCTTACCCTAATTATTTATAATTCAGCGCATGCGCAAATAAATTCTTTCAAGCGTGCATGCTTTACATGCTTGAACCTGACATTTTTGGACGGTTATTT